CTCATCAAAAGAACGATGTTCGCATATGATAGCTATGAGAGTGAATACAACACGTCTGAAAAGAATGAGAGTTCATCTGAATCAGTTTGAAGTGAACGTGTCAGAGGCAATAGCTTTTCATGCAATCGTGATCGATTGCAATAATGACTGTAAGCAACACAGCGGTCCATGAGGAAGTCCAGCGATGTTGAATACCATCATGAACGTGTTAACAAGATCTGCACGCAGCCTATGCGATTCCCGTAAGCAATGGTAATCTTAAAGAAAGCAATCCAGAAGATCCGGGGAATTAACATCACCTGGAATCGATTCATGAAATATGATTCAAAGAAGGCTCATTGCCACCGCGTGCAAATTAAACTGAGAGCATTAAAATACCAGATAATTGTATTTAAAATTGATGAGAAATTTCCGGAGCAGTTTTCCATTTGTTCCTGACGTCATACGTAGAAATAGTAAGTTCTTGCATCATGGGGGAGGGGGGTATCGGCGGCCTGCTAGATCGTCAAAAGGGGCGATGGAGCATCCGAACGTGAGAACCACTGATCTAGCACCTCCATCTCGGAGTTGTTTGATGAAGTCGTTTTCCGGAATTTTTAATACATCAATCTCTGAGTTCTTCATGTTGAAGAAATGCCTAATAAATCATGTCTTTCTCAATTCATCATCAAGTATTTCTGCATATGCAGCGATACATGCGAATGGGAAGAATATTTGGTTATGCATGAACAGCACAAAAGTCTTGATTATTTGAAATTCAGACTTTAAAAATAGGTCAGCGCCTGAGAGGCCAAGCTGCTATTCCCTTCAAGTACTGTCTTCTGGCACATTCCAGTAAAACTTGTTTCATTGTAGGGTATCGAAGGTGGTTGGTTGGAAGGCCGGAACGCGAAAGGTCAGCATGGTTTGTTTCCCGAATCGTACGTGATTAAAGTCGAGCCACCTTTACCACCTTTACCAGCTATTCCAGCGCCGCCGGTAATCCTTGTTTTGTTTATTTCTTGCATCAAATGCTGACCACATCCACCATCCATGACATGTTCAACAATACGAATTCTCATTGTTTATTGCACTACAGAGGTTGCTCTTCTTCGCATTTGGCTGTGTGCTTAATTGCAAAATTTAAAATGTTGACTGCACAGAACGATTGAAGAAACAGAGCATGCTGGATGACTGACGACAGTCGTTGAACTTATTGAATCCGAATTTGAGTTCAAATTCCATGAACGATCACAGTAAGGTGGAAGGACTGGAACAGTTCCTTGAAAGATTCCTGGGAACAGATGGCAACGGAGAATGCATACTGCGCATATTGCTGGCAACTCTAGAAGAACTTATTTGCTCGAAATAACCTAACATAACAAGTTGTAAT